ATGTAACATGGCCATGGTTGATTTTCTTCATATCATAAAGATATTTATCCCTGCAGGTTTTTGTAGCCGTTTCCATCATACTTGGAGATGGCCTCTACAACTTAGTAAAAATCTTTGTTGTTATTGCAAGAGGAATTTGTAATGTGCAATTGACAAAAGGTGATCAGCCTGTTCAAGCTCTTCAAGGTAACATCAACAATTCTCGCTGTATCATTTTTTGTGCCCATTCAACACGTTTACCATTTATGACTTGAATTTGTGGCCGGAGAGCATTGATTGTATAGAATACAGGTCAATTATTCTCCACTAATTCATTTCCTTGTAGTACAGTTGTGTTAGTTATTTGCTTGCAAGATATCATCTTCCTGAATCATTTATTCATATTTTTCAGATAACAAGAACTCTAGACAGTTAATGGATGACGAGCTTCAAATTGAGATATTCTTCAAAGATAGGATACCAACATGGTTTGCTGTTTGTGGTTACATTGTACTTGCAGCAATATCCACCGTAGCTGTGCCCACCATATTTCCCCAGCTGAAGTGGTATCTTGTGCTTGTCTGCTACTTACTTGCTCCGGCCATTGCCTTCTGCAACTCCTACGGGATGGGCCTCACAAACTTGAACCTTGCACCCACCTATGGCAAGATTGCCCTCTTTATATTTGCCTCGCTCGTCGGCAGCAGCGATGGTGGCGTCATTGCCGGCCTTGCAGCATGTGGCATAATCATGTCCATTGCCTGCTCTGCGGCAGATCTGATGCAGGACTTCAAGTGCGGCTACCTCACCCTCTCTTCACCGCGTTCAATGTTCATCTCCCAGCTAACTGGCGTCGTGCTCGGATGCGTCATTGCTCCGCTCACACTGTGGCTCTTCTGGGCGGCCTTCGATATCGGCGACCCTGATGGTGAGTACAAGGCCCCATTCGCCATCATCTTCAGGGAGATGGCCATTCTCGGGGTCGAAGGTGTTGCCGCTCTGCCCCAGCACTGCCTCGAGATCTGTTGCGCATTCTTCTTGGCCGCGATGGCCGTCAATCTCCTGAGGGATGTGACGCCCGCCAGTGCGTCGAGGTTCATCCCCATACCGATGGCGATGGCTGTGCCGTTCTATATTGGCGCTTTCTTCGGCGTGGACATGTTGATTGGGACGGTAATCTTGTTCGTGTGGCAGAAGTTGAACGGGAGGGGTGCTGATGATTATGCGGTGGCAGTGGCGTCCGGGCTGATCTGCGGGGATGGTATATGGAGCATTCCATCTGCTGTTCTGTCCATCCTGAGAATTGATCCGCCGGTCTGCATGGCCTTCAGGCCGTCCTCTGCCTTTTCCAGGTGAGAAGATGGATCCAATGCTCACTCTAGGACATGGATTTGTGCCACTGAGTGATGAATCTCTGTAATTTCATACGTACAGATGTGCATCACTTTACTCATGTACAAAGAAAAACGAACCACAACACTTTGGAGCCATATTGCTCCTAACCAACTGTACCAAACATCGCGTTACACACATCCACTGTCTTCCATCTGTCCTTTTTTTTTTTTCTGAACGGTCACCGGGGGGACGGGATCCCTTCCCATGTGAATATATTGCTCAAAAAGCTGCCAAAGCCAAGAGTCACCCCAGAAACTTTGGCTGACCCTGTTTATAAAGAAAGGGGAACAAGATGGGGAGGCGTTTTGGCTCCCGGGTGTATTTGCACCTCGATGAACAGTACCCTGAAAAAACAATTTAAATGTTTTTAAAAAATTCTGAAAAAATTGTGGATAACCATGTTGGTGTCGCAAACATGCTTGACAAATTTCATGCGGAATGGAGCAGTGGTCTTTCGTCGGCAAAAAAAACAAATTTTGGATGACATTTTGGGGTGACATTTGGTGTTTGATTTGTTCTTTTTTGCGCAGGCCAAAATGCTTAACCTTTTTGTCTCAAAATTTACAGGTCGCATTTGTATGTGACAAAGATCACAAAAAAAATTGTCTCAATTTTTTTGACATTTAAAAAAAAACAAAAATGGCCCCATTGCACCCCGGAGCCAAATTGACTTTCCGGTCAAAGTTATACAAAGTTTGACTTGAGATAAAACAAATATACAACTCACAAGAAAAAGATAAAACAAATATATTATAACATCCCAATTTTTAATTTGGATGTTATACATATGCATTTCATAATTTATTGCATTTTGGATTTTATTTGGTTGTGATCCAAGAAAACTTAAGCAACTCATGGACCCAAGGAGAGAGTTGGAGGTTTCATAAATTTCATTTTTGAATTTATTAAATTTTGAAAAGAGGATCAATTTGATTTCAACAAATTTTTTCCAATTATTTCAAAACAATAAAAATAATGAGAGAAGATAAAATGACTTCTTCAAAACAGAGGAGAAATGTTGGAAAAGAAATTTGGAAGTCAAATTATTTTATTTGAATTTTATTTGAAATTTTATTCGGTTGAATTAGAGAAAAAAAACTTGCATTTTTAGAATTTGCATTTAGTCCAGAAAAATGTTCACTTAGTCCCAAATATTAGGTAGGGATGGTAAAAATTGTTTCTGGAATTTTAGGAGTTTTATTTTTATTTTATTAGGATTTCCGCTGCGGCACTATTTTAACAAAAAAGTGTGCGCACCGACTGGGCCGGCCGAGCTAAGCCAGGCCAAGCCCAGTCGCCAACCGCCATCGTCCCCGTGCCCGCGCCGGACTCCCGCCGGAGTCCGAGCCGCCCCCGTCGTGACCCCCTGCCCAAGTCGGGACCCCGACCCCTGGGCCTTTATAAGCCGGACCCGCCGCCCCGTTTTCGCCACCAACCGCCGCCGCCGCTGCCCAAAGCCCTCGCCGCCGCCGCTTGCGCCGCATCGCCCCGCCGAAGCCGCGCCGCCTCGCCGTTGACCGCCGCCGCCGACCGAAGACTGGTATAAAAAACTGCCCGGTTCGCCGGTTTATTTTCGGTTTTTTAATAGTTCGGTTTAGTTAGATCGACCGGTTTATTTTTTTAGATCGGTTAATTAGTGAGCATTCACCCGTTAGAATCTGTTAATGAACGAATTCGTTCATTAGTTTCTGTTAGCGGACGTTCGTCCGATAGATTTTTCTTTTTCTGTTTATTTCTACCAGGGACCTATTCGCGAATACTTTTATCGCAATTTAGCCCCTGATCTTTAAACTAGCATAACTTTTAGCTCGTTTATCCAAATTAGATGAAACCAACGCCTAAATCTTTGTAACGATCCCCTCTTTCCAGTAAACCAACTTGAACATGATTTTGACAATTTAAAATTTGAGTTTAGTCCAGTTTAGTATTCGATCTTGTTTCGTTTGCTTCTTGAGTTTCGTAGCTCCGTTTGAGTTGTTTCTTTTTGCAAATCGTAGCTAATCACTTATACCTACTGTTAAGATCTAATACACATAAAAATAATGCTGTTAGAAGTTGTGTTCTGTTTAGTTTAGTTATTGCTTGTTTCAAGTTTTATTTGGATCTTTTCTTGATTTCTCTTTGTTTCGTTTGATTGTTTGCTTACGTATGCTGCTATTTGTCTATGCTAGATTTTCTGGAGTGCGAAGCTTGCTACTACGAATCTCTAGAGTTTTCCGATCGTCAGCAAGGCAAGTTACACTTTGATCATACTCTTCTACACCCAGTTTTACTATGCATTAGTTTTGCCCCTCAAATATTTGCATGAGTAGGATTTGGGAACATGTGGCTTGGTTGTAGTACTTGAGGTAGGAACCTAATACCTTTGACCACCCCGGGAATATACGTTATGCTCATTTATTGCTTAGCCATGCTCGTAGACGGGGATTGGATCGTGATGTACATGGAAGTTATGAGAGTTAATAATTTTAGATAACATTTAGGTGGCAAATTTAATACACATCTAGGTGGATTGGTTGGGGTACCCGGAGAATCCAGTGCTAGCCCGTTTGGGAAATCCCGGAGTACCCGTGTGATTTTTCCTTGGTTCGCCACCCAGGCTCAAAGGGATCATATGATATTTCATGCCTAGAAACTTCCATGTGCAGCCACAAGCCATTATGGGTTCTGGCGTAGTTGAGTAAGTTGCATGAGCTCTTGAAGAGGTGGACTAGCAGATGTAGGGGAAAGTAGGTGTATCGGTCTACCTAGGGTAGAGAGTTAATGCTTCAGAAAGACTATGTCTTGATCTTCCGATCATGGATGCGGTCGAGTCTTATGGGGAAAAGTGTGCAACCTCTGCAGAGTGTATAAACTAATCATGGTTACCCGTGTCCCCGGTTATGGACATTTTGAGTATCTAGAAGTGGATATTATTATTGATCTCATCACTCTTTAATTGACTGAATTGGATTTAATGATGATACTTGAATAATGTTGGGGTTTGAGTTGGAGGAACCTTCTCAAATATTGGTTTAACTTGGTAGTAAATAAAATTTATTCCTTTGTTGCAGGGAAAAATTAGCTTTATGCAAAACATTAAATTTAGAGCCCCCACCAGACAAATATGCATGTAGATATAGTTCTTGCATTCATTGCTTCACAGTGTAACTCTGCCAGCATATTCCATATGCTGACCTACACGGCTACAACATCTCATGATGCAGACTTCTCAAACAACGAATAAGGTGCGATAGGTCGTTGTCATGCACTCAGCTATGCCGTTGGAGTTGATGGACTCATTTACCTTCGAAGCTTCCATAGTTATTTAGTTTAGATGGCCTTCAGCCATTTTATTTGTGTAACAGATACTCTTTATGAGGACCTCGATGTAATAAGTGTGTGATTGAACTCTGTTATAATTCCTCGAGTATTGTGTGTCAACATACCGATCCAGGGATGACACTTAAGCACAGAGACTTCGGTCCATTGGGATCGTGGTCGCTACAAGATGGTATCAGAGCACACACTAACTATAGGACGCGACCACTAGGATAAGCCACATGATTTCTCTTCTTTGCTCATTTCTAATCCTCCTCTATTTCTACTCTATAGATGGCGGACCCCAGGAGCAAGTTCACTCAGCCGAATGACGACACCCCTTTTGGACGACACTTGAAGGAAGTCACAAAGTATCTGAACATCGAACTACCAAGCTTCACTGGAACATTCTCTGCAATTTTACCGGAAGAGGAGTGTCGTGGTACTAAGTCTGACAGTAAGTATAGGGGGTACGTTTGAGGAGGCAAGGTCCTAGCTACGGTGAAGTTGTACGCAAGTGTTTACGAGTTCAGGCCCTTCTTGGAGGAGGTAAAAGCCCTACGTCTCGGTGCCCTGAGGCGGTCGACTAGAATATGAGAGTGTGTGTTATGGGGGATGCTAACCCTTGTGCCAGAGGAGGGGGTGGCTTATATAGAGTGCGCCAGGACCCCAACCATCCCCCATTACAAGAAGTTCAATGTACATAAAGACGGGGCGTTACTGATAACGCCAACCATAAGTGCTATTAATGATCTTAAAGACTACGAAGTGAACGCCTGACCGTTGCAGTTCTGAGTGACTCCTGGTCTTCAGTAGGTCGAGTGGCATCAGGAAGGAGGGGTACCTGAGTGATATGATTGGTCGAGTGGATTGCACTCGATGCCTTCACTTGGTACTCCCCGTTATCTCTTGGGCTTCTTTGCTTCTAGGGTAGTGACCTTGGGTAGGGTGTATAGGTCAGGCCTATGACCCTACCCTAGGTCTATATCATCATCTTTAGCCCCTGAATAGATTAAGGTCCGAGTGGAAAGAAAGCTGAAGTTAGTCTTGCTTCGACTCTTGAGCTTCACAAGTACCCATGTTGAACTAGAGGCCCATGTTGGAACTTCGGCTTTGCTTCAGTCGCCTTGATCGATTCAGAAGTTGTCGAGTGGATTTATATCGTCACTCGTCGAGTGGTACTTTTGACGCGAAATCTTTGGCGCAATTGGTTACAGCGTATCCCAGATCTCGCGAGATTCGAAATTTTGGGGAAGCGCGTGAAGCGGAGCGCGTCGTAGTAAGCGGGATGGATAGACATGAGTGCCTCGATCTCTGCGCCACCTTTTTCGCCACATACCCAGCGCGCGACTGTTGTGGGATTTGACAGGATTGCCCGGGCCCACGTGTCAGCCACTCGGAAGTGGGTCCTTAAAAGGCGACGGGGCCAAGGCGTGTGCACTATGCGCGTCCATTCTTCCTCTCCCTTCCTCGCCTCCCCATTGCATCTTTCTCCTCCGCTCTCGACGCCGCCGTGCCGCCATCATGGTGAAGGACAAGACGACAGCGCTGGAGCGCGCGAAGAAGGCGGTGGGGGCGGCGAAAGGCAAGAAGACGAATCGGGGGTCGTCGTCGAGGTCCCCGCTGCCGCCGGGTTGGATCCAGGGCGACTGGATCCAATC